TGTGTGTGTGTGTGTGTGTGTGTGTGTGTGTGTGTGTGTGTGTGTTGCTCTGGCCTGACTTGCCACTGCTTTGATCTGTGGGCCTCAGACCCCCGACACATCTGATTCAATTATCTTCATCCACCTGTTGACTTAGAGGCCCAAAATTGTCAAGTTTGCCCCTCCTGTCAAAGTCTCATAGCTGCATGTGTGTGTCGATGTGTGTGTGCAGAGAAAAATACAGACAGTCTGACCCTATGTAAGACTTTTATTTTAGTTGTGTAAGAAATAATTACAAGATTGCAATCACATTATTATAATTGATATTAAAAATCACTCAATTGTTCTTTAAAGTTGCCTTTTTTAGTTTAGTCTTATGGTGTGTTCCAGTTGTTCTCCGGTCAGAATTTTGGACTTCTGAGTCAGAACTATTAACTGCAGCGCCCCCTAATGTCAGAATTTTGAGTCGAAGTCAGTGCTTTACTAGCCTGGTTTAAACCAGACCCTGTCCTTCACTTTGCTTCGTACAAGGGTCTGGACTTGCTGCATACTGTAGAGAATCGATTCTTGCAGGAGGCGTGGCCTCTGCTGAAGAATGTGTGTGTTGTTGGTGTGAAGGAGGCTAAGCTAAGAAGCTAACCYGAAATCGCGTGTGCTGTAAACAACCCTACTGAGAGGAGAGAAATACCGAGCCGAACGAGACGACTGTAAATGAGAGCTGCTGCTTTGTCAGACAAATTTCATTTAATTTGGAAGCCTTATCAACACAGACTGGCTTCATTCACTTCCTCCACTGCCGTATGCTAAACTAACTAGCAGACACTGCACAGAACATCGACGTCATTCAAAACTCCGCCTTCTGTTCTCTGATTGGCCCAGGTAAAATAAACTACAAGCAGACACTGTGCAGAAAATCGATGTCCTGTTCTGTGATTGGTTCGGCTAGAAATCTGCCAGCAAAATCCTTGCCTATGGGAGAAGTCCCAGACGGAGCAGTGAAGGGAAACTAGAATTGAGCGGAGCTGCATAGGAAGGCAAGGGCCAGGCTAGTGCTTTATCATACCTGACCACACGTGATGTCATCATTTCAATATGGCTGCTCCTCACATCAGCAGTGACTGAAAGTCTTTTACGTTTTTTAGTAGTTCTGTGTCATTTACTTTACAGTAAGTCAGTCATATTTGTAGTACTTAAAGCAATCATTAGGCAATATGTTTTAAGCTGTTTGTACACTTAAAATGTCACATTGAGCATTATTGTTGTGTTATTGTTGCATTATTCCATCAAAAACGTTCTGACAAACTGGAACTCTTCACTCAGAACTGGCGTCAGTCCGACCGCTGCAACTGGAACGCAGCATTATACTTCACATACTGCTTTCTTTTTAACTTTATCCTGGTTTTGCATAACTAATTTCGCAAACACAAAACTGGGAAAAAATGGATGTATTATGCTATGTGCACGAACTACATAATTACTGTGATAAAAGATAGCATTACTTTAGAGATGCACTCTGTATTGTCCACTGGCCATGTTTTATTTTATTTTTATTTTTATTTTTTGAAAACAGACTGCAGCTTATTTTTGTGTAAAGAGCAAAATGTCTCAAAAATGTTATTAAATTGGAAGCAGGTTTTATAGACAAGATGTCAGTACTCATTTGTTGTATAGGGTTAAACAGAAATAAATTAAACAAAAAAAAAACACTATTCTGTGTAAGAGTGTGAAATAGTGCCCTCTAGATTTTACTATGATGTCTTTGACTTTTTTTTTTCCTTCACTGTGGTTCCAATTTTTTTGGCTTTTCTAGTCTTCATTCATTTAATCATCGGGGGTGGGTTAATAATGGCTCGTTTGTCTGCGCTGAATGAGATTGTTAGTTCGGTTATGCCCTTCAGAGTGTGTATATGGTGTGTTGAAGTAAGACATATAAGTGTGTCTGTCTGCACATGTGTCAGTTAATATCAGCAGTTTTCCTGTAAAGCTGCCTTTTTGTTTAAATACCCTGACAGACGTGATGAGAAGCAGTCATGGACGTGTGTGATTATGAACGAATGATTCAAGTCAGACTGGTTCTCCATGTGTTGTGCACGGAAACAGTGAAGTATGGCAGAGACATTAATTGTTCAGATGGGATGAATTGCAGGCCACAAACCATGCAACCATTGCCAGATGTTGACCTGCGCAAACGTCAAGGCGGCCCGGCGATGCGAGCACGTCCAAATGCTAAGCGGGACACACGAGCACAGCAGGGAAACATGCATTCGTGTGCTGCAGGTTAAATTATTGCACTTCTGTTTGTGTCATTTTTTATTTATTTTTTTCTCTTCCAGGAGGAGGCTGTATGTGGACAATCAACCTGTGTCCTCCAGTCCACTCAAACAGGCGCCCAGACAAGATACCAGAATGGTTAGTTTGTCAACACACTGCCACCTGCACCTCTGGACTTCATCAAATATAGTTGTTAYATTTATTGATTAGAAATATAGTTTTAATTACACATTTAAATACTCACATTAAACTTTGTTGTGCCAAATTAAATTGTAGTGTTAGTGCTTCCAAGAAAAGACAAAAAAGAGCTTTTGTTTGTGATCGCAGCGCATTTGGCCATGATTTCAAATCACAAGCTACACCTGGCTCAAATTAATCCTGACTACACTCAAGGTTTCTTCTTAATAAATCTTAAACAGACTCTTCAKGTCTTTTGAAGTGTGGTTCTGTGGAAAGGTTATGATCTATTAATATCTTAACTCAGGGTTGGGCAGTTCTGGTCCTTGAGGGCTGCGATGCTGRATGTTTTACTTATTTCCCTGCGCCAGCATACCTGAGTCAGAATTACCTGTTCAGAGTCTGCAGGTAATCAACTGGTAAATCAACAGGTAACACATGTTGGATTAACCTTGTCTTTAGCTTTTATGGGTAGCTCAGTGAAATGGCCACAGGCTGGAAAAACTTAATTTTGACCTTATTGATGAACTATAATATAATACTGTAATTTGTGGTCTTTTTTTTTTTCATTTAGAAAACATATTGAAAGAAGAAAAATGGACGATTTTTCTACATTCATTTTATATTCCTAAAACGGGAAAAATGGTCCGTCTTTTTATCTTTCTCAAACCAGAAGTTTAACACTGTTGTTATCAAACCTTTTAAGGAGGAGCTAGTAAATGTAACTGTGAATAAATAAATAAACGCTAGCTAACTACTTTAGCATTCCTAAGGCTGAATTTGAAGGCTGATTTACGTCACAACGATACACCCAAGACTGTTCAAATTCAAAGGCTCATCTAATTATGGCCCACATATGCATCCTTCTGTGTCTGATGTATCCTTCTCAACCCTCTCTATCCCGAAGTGCATTGCGGGCTGATTAGGAGATTTTTTTTTGCTTGTAATGGCAGATGAAGGGAGAGGAAGGAGTACAGTTTTAAAACAAAATTCTGGCAGAACAAAAGTCTAGCTATAGTGCTAGCACAATGTAGAAAAGGTAGAACTATCTACAACAGGTAAGATATTAAATGTTCATAATTTTCCACAGAACTCAACTTCAAAGGATCTGCACTTTACTTGAAGTATTGATATATTTTGTTTCATATCAGGCTGTTGTTTGTGGTTGCTGCTAAAATTTGAACTGTAACATTTTAGTCAGAGGTTTTAATCAAATTTTTTTCCATTCGGCTGTTTTTCTGTGTCAGTGTAATTCTACTGAGGTTCCCCACTTCTTCACCTCCAAATCGCATTCAACATCTCATTTTACTATCGCTCTTTCTTAATTTTATTAGGCATTTCCTCTGTTTCAACCTGCCTTGCCCAAATTCTACTTGAGTAACCTGATCTTGTATCAACAAAACRTCTGGAAGCTTTTGTATCATTGAGGGGGAAAAATAAATCCAGAGCTCAGTTTTTACAAAAGACTGGAGAAAACCTGAATGTCAGGCAGTCTGGCTGCACGTACCCCTCCTGTGGAATTTACTGTATGACGGAAATTATGTGGAACTGCTGAACATCTGGAGAGCTGTACGTTAGGAGGAGAGGGAGGAAGAAAGGGTTGAAGGCAGGAGATAAGTGGGGACTTGAGTGCTGTTGGTAGGACAGGAAAGCACATAAGGACGAACCTTCTGTCTGTTAACTTTTAAAGAAATGTTTTGTTGTTGCCAAGACAGGGATTACTACGACGGAGCATTAAGGCCACACAACAAGATTTTTTTATTATTATCATGAGAATAAAGTCATATTATGAGAATTAAGTTGTAATATAACGTGAATAAAGTCATAATCTTACATGATGTGTCCATTGTCCATTTTTCATTTCCTCCTTATTTCCCTCACACCTTCTGTGGACAGTCATATATGTCTCTGTGTTTATGAAGTAGTCCGTGATAACTTGGGTCACTGTTAGTGTAATATGCTTTCATCCAAATTAGCTACGTAACGACTAAATCTGACAATGCATGCTTATCATATAGTCATTTGCACAATTTCCAAGTCCTGCTACTGATAATTTGATGCTAATGTGCTAAAAGATTAACTATTTTAAGCAATACTAAAGAACAACTTGACAAGTTGTTCAACGTCCTCATTTTAATGCAGTGGTAACTGCATGTTTTTTCGTGTAGTATTACGACTTTCATTTTAGAATATTATGACTTTAATCTATATTACAACTTTATTCTCATAATATTATGATTTTAATCTTGTAATGTTACGACTATTCTTGTAATATTATGATTTTAGTCTTGTAATCTTACGACTTTATTTTCATAAAACTTTAATAGTAATATTATCGCAATATTATGACTTTATTCTCGTAATTAAAAAAAAAAAAACTCATTGTGTGGCCCTAATACTCCGTCGTAGATTACAGCATCAATAGGCAGAAATAACTTCCATCAATTTCTGTTGTTTGTTTTCATAAACAGTCAATGCTGGCAGCATTCATTTAAATTCCATCCTCTCATTGAAATCAAGACTTCTCAACTTGTTCTTGGTGCTACTTTAATTTCCCCTTCTCAGGTGCATGAAGTGCTAAAAGCAAATGCGTCTTCTGATGACAGTGACCTGGAGGTTCGACTTAACAGCTGGAACCTGGGGGTGAGTTCAGGGTCACGTCTTGAGCTTAAGGGCTTCTGAAGGGCCTATGGCTTTGAATGACTCACAAATAAATCCACATGAACAAAGATTACTCTGACCTAAACTTTTGTTTTATTACTGTGGAGGCAGTAAACAAAGTTTCTGAACATCTGAAAATCAGACCAACAATTTTTTTTGTTTTGTTTTGTTTTTAACACATGGGAGGGAAAATTAATTGTAAAAGGTCAGTTTTGCTTTAAGGTTGTATCTCACTGGGCTGTAACTGTTGGACTGTAATTAGTGAAGAGCATTTGCAAGAGAGTTATCAACAATCATGCAGCAGTTCAAAACAAACAATTGAACAAAACAAACAAACAAAAAACTAAACCCTAACCCCGGATTTACACTACATGCGTCTTCGCTCCGCTGCGCTGCGGTGCGACAGACAGAGAAGGGAGGGTGTGCAGGAAGGAGATTGCGCGATAAATCCAGTGATAAATGTGGAAGTCAGAGCAAAAAATAATTAATTCTGTGAAAGACGAACTCTAAACACAGCTGAAAACATTAATATAAAGGCTGTTGATATCCATGGTTGAAACTGTGTCACTGTCATCCTTTTCAAACTTCTGATTTCAAAATAAAATCCACGTGCATTGTGTATAGTATACACATATGCTTAATGCTACATGTTTCCATCTGCTTCCCAAACAGAACGATACATTCTGACAGCATTTTTGTGGAAATATATCCATATATTTATTAAAATAGCTGGGATTTTGACATTATTCCGACAAATTATCCTGCCTAATAGTGTCTTATTTTGAAAATACGGATGTTGTGCTCGTTTCTTTTCTTGTTGGCGTGACGCAATCTTTAAAAATTGACTCCGTCTCAATTTCCTCACGAGTCACAGAAGGTCTCAGTCCAATCTCTTATATTTTAAATGTGTTCATAAAAGTTGTGACAACCTTTCTCTCAAAATAGTCAGAGTTGTCATATATGTCTTGAATCCTTCTCTGTTATGAATGTCCAGGTCTACAAACCACACCCTTAATAAATATTAATTATTTAAAAACTGGTCCAGATCTGCCCATCTATATTTCAAAAGAGTAATCAAGTAGATTAATTAATAAACTTATGGATATCTGCCAAGGTAAAAAGTGGGTCGATACGAGTACGATGTGGGCAATAAAATATTGCACATGGCCTAGAATTAAGATTTGCAAGCCGCACACATGAAAAAAAAAAGGCCACTCAAAACACATCTACAAAACTGCAACAATTTTCTCACAGGTTTGAGTCTCCATCTTATCTCCAACAGTCGCAGCCCGGTGAGTTACTACCCTTACATGGTTATTCCTGCAGAAATATTCCTGCTGAAGTGCCCCAGGCTGTACTGGAGGTGCTACAGTTAACTCCTGCTGCTGCCTCTAACTTGTTTACAAAGAATTCTGTGTCAAAACCTATTTAATGCGAAACTGACGGTGATGTAAAGGTTTATAACATAGTGTTCATGGGAACTTCTATAGATTAGATTTGTCTTAAAGGGATCCATGATTAGTTGTAACATTAGACCTTATTTAATAAACATATATTTTAACTGTAAAATAAAGACTGTAAAAATACTGTAGGT